AAATGCTGATTTTTTTCGGAGTTCTTTCTTTTATTTACCAATTTTTCACAGCGTAAATGAGAAGACTTGGCCTAGCAGCGTTTTCAGATTTGGAAGTGCATTTTCCTGCTTGATGAATCTAGACGAACGGTGAAAACCTTGGAGTTTATTCATGAAGGAAACTGTGGGTAATGCAGTTCACCATGCTAAAACTTGGTAATATACTGGTAAGCTGAAAAAGCCCCGATTCCAAATCTGGGATCACCGACAAAAGGTCAGGGGGTATGAAATGGAACTACTTGGAGACAAATATTACCTCTGATAGAGCTAGATTTTAGCAAGCTTGTAACTGCATGAATGTTGATTAATCCTGGGAATTTCTAGGGCAAATACGAATATTTTGCCAGGTTCTTGTTAAGATGCAGACATCGTAATATTCGTCACGCCATTGCCGATGCCCAGTTCCAGACTGTATCTTCGTTTGCATGCCACCCCCCCCACTCAACAAACATCGAGCGGTCAACTGTACTGTCGCATGTTGCCCTGCGCACCGAGCAGAGGCTAATACCCATACCGTCCTGCCGTTTGCAAGGACCCGTACGATTTTTACGAATCACGCTCTATACCTCTCGTGCCAAAGACAGAACGCAACGCTCCGGACTCAACGGTGTGTTCGCGCACATTTCGTTTCCAAACCCGTTTTTTTTTGCTCCTACTAGAGATGACGATAATAAACTTTCCAACATTTTGTATATTAAAGAAACAATTTCAAAGGCAACGGAGGGATGTATCGATTTTCTGCAAACGAAAGATTTAAGTCCAGCGATCTACGAGATAATATTGACGAATAAGACATCACCGAAAGAATTGAATAGTAAAAATTAAAAGAACCAAAAAAGAAAAATATACAGCATCGAGATTTGATCGCTTGAAGTTAAAGGCGTGATTTGATTTTTGTTTTATTTTTCACATTGAACAAAAGACCCAACTTCAAACGAATTTTTCACTGAACATTTTCCGTCTGAAAAATGAAACCAAAACTCGCCACCCAATTGATGTGCATGTACGACCTTCAAATGTTGTAATGTTACGTGTTTCTCACCTTTTTCCCGTTAGTAGTTTGACGAAAAGCACCCTGAGGTAAGAAGAGTGGGATTATTCCTTCATCGTAAAAAAAAAATTGTATTTTTTGGGTGTTTCCACAGAAATGTCCAATAGAAATTCAATGATCATTCATTTTGCATGGAGAATGCTGACGAAATCTCAATAACAGCCCAGTTACTCTGCAAAAGGCGTGTACTGTTTAACCAGTCTTTATTGCATGCAGCGTGTGTACTGAATGTCCTTATATAGGGGTAATTCTAGAACTTATCCATCATGCATCGAGATTTCACATTTTTGAGGGCAGGTATGACGCCAGCCTGATACTGTTCTGATACGCCGATGAACGTCCCGTGAGTCAGACTTGTGGTGGGGCAGGACATGCGACAAGCGCTCAGGTTCTTGTCAAGGTATCGGATCAGCCTGTAATCGTACTGATGAGGCCGCACTGGAATCCTGTGGTTAGAGCTGGGTCTAGGTCCTCTGCACGGGTATATGTCGGTAACAGACGTAGCCGTAGCAATGAAGGAGCATGTTTTGAACATGTTCCGATCTTCTTTGTCTTGAAAGGTGCAAATTCTCTTAGGAGGTGGACAAAGAAATGACTTGAACCGCGCATCGAACTGCGGAAACTTGTGCCGCCCGTGAAATAGCAATACAAAACAGGATACTTTCTGTTCTCTGGTCGCTTCCACCACACACAAAAACACATTCCAAGCGAATTCTGCAGAAGAAATAAATACCTACCCACCTCACAGAGATATGGGGAACAGTGGAGTCTGCAGCATCCATGGCTTTCTCTTCCAGTTTGCGCAGAGACTAATGCAAAGCCTAAACTTGGTTCTGCCAAAAGAGCTCAAGTTGACCAGGCATCATTGACTATCGAGTCAGGCCGACACGTTTACGGCACGTTATGCGCACTCACTCCCCAGTACACATGTACTTCCCACAGACAACCAGCGCCATAGCTTGGAGGGCCAACGTGGGTCGAGTGGGCCGTGCGTTGGCCCACTCACTGGGGCGCGTCCACCCCGCAAGCCACGCTGCAAACCGGTTGGATGCCATCGAAGTCCCGCCAGTAACACTCCGACGGCAACGTAGACGAGAAATCCTTCCAAAAAGAGATCGGTGGGCGAAATCAGCCCCTAGCTTTTCCGTCTGGCAGATTTTTCTTTTGAGTTGGAAAAGTTTTCAAAAGATTCTCTCCAGTGGGAAAACTGTCCGGACGCAGACACAATATTTGGACGTACATGCACACGTCTATTTATAAATCGGAATCCGGGGAACTGTTTTGTCCTAATCTAGTTTTCTCCCATCGAAACTAAAGTAACAAAGGTTACAGTGTGTGAACTTATTCCCTAATTCTTGACCTATAAATTGGGTATAATCTCTTACCTGTTGGTAGAGGGCCTTAATTGGCTTGTCGAATCCGTAGCTCCCCTGCAATAACTTCAGCAAAATAATTCAGTACCGCCCAGACCAGACGATAAAGCCAACGTCTGCCGCATGGTCCCCAGCCCTTGGCTTCCACACGTCAGCGCCCACGTGGGTGCCAGCGATTTTTTTTTCTTTGCGCGCGGGAGATTGGAATCCAACACCGCAAATGGCATATTCTTGGGAACCAGTCAAGTCTGGAACTTTCCACTATAGCCTTGGGTGGGGTGTTGTTGTCAGCTGCGCCACGGATTTCAATGCCAGGGAAGTATGAGTCCAGGCTAGGCAAGAGATTCGGGCGGGAATATAACGCCAGACATTATTCGGTTCTATGTCAAACTCCGAACACATCTTTGTCATAGGTTAAAGACTTTCACCTTCTTAATTTCTTATAGGGGTGCCTACTAGACATGAACACAATTAGAAAAATATACCGAAGAAAGATTACACTGCATACCTCAAGTCAAAACGGGGCACTTAGCTCCCTTTTCAACACTGCATATAGTGAAATAGCTAGGTGCTTATAGATTTAAAAAGCTGAAGAAAACATGCGTTGCAAATTCAGTTCAGATTGTTTTCATACATATTACTATGTGTTACAATTCAAACAAATTAAAATCCTTTTTTTCCATTGGAAATGACAAGAGGGCAGTAGTTGTCCATTCTTAGGTGATTCTTTCATCAGTACTCTTTAGAGGGCGCTATGTTGCTTTCGTCACACAAGGCCTTCTTTGTCAAAGGAGTACAGGAAAAGTTTCGGAAACACATCCTTCAAACTTTCCTACCAACAAAGTTTCGAAGCAATTCTATTGTCCAAACAAGCTGCTTAACACGATCAACAAGTAAAAAATAGAACTTCCTTACAGGAAAATAGATGACACCACTCTTTATCTCATGAGTGTGGACATTTTTATTAGCATAAAAGCCAAACTGTTGAGGCTGCGGCCATTTACTGCTTCAAAGGAGGTGGAAATTCATAATAGAATTGCACAAGCGCTTTCCTACACGCACTCCAGTCAAAAATATCTTAATTCCTGTTTCCTTCAAAGGAAATACTTACGAGAGAGTAAAGAAAAAAACGAGTTCATTTGCCAGACCATGCGACAATTTGACTTGTTTTTCTACGACTTCTTACAATGGTCGTCCGTTTCATGCCCAAAATACACAAGCACTCATTATGAATAGAAATGCTGCACACAAAGGATTAAAACAACACAAGAAACGATACATAGTGAGCCAGTTCAGTATTAAAAAAAAACAAGGTCATTCGGGAACAAAGCCCGCGTCTGAGTCTGCGAAGGGGCAAGCTGATTTGGCAGACTTCGCACGCGCGTCCGAATGACCCCAGACGCGCTTCGTTTTGGGCATGCGCAGCTGGAATACCGAACCGACTCATTGAGTGCTTGGACAATGAGTTTAAACAGGGCATGAAGCTGACAAATCAGCAATCTTGCGAATCGGCGTGCACGAATGCGAGACTTTCCGTTTTGGAACAGGCATCATGTACTGATTCACCTGAGACATTCGTGCTATATCATGGAACACTGCGCAACAAACAAAATTTAGCACTCTGTTAATTTCAGACACACTCGGAACGGAATGGCACACCGACGATGAAGACCATGAAAACTCTCCGATTATACGGCAGTCATTCGGTCATTGAAAAGCTGATAGACTGCGCTGTGAACATTGTATTTAGTTTTACAAACCACCGAAACAGAACGGGAAATTTACAAGGGTTTTCAAAGCCACACCATGGCCAGACTCCAAGTCGCTCCGCATCACCGATGACTTAGTTATGTGATCAGTTTCAGAAAAAAAAAAGTCTACTCAAAATGGCGTCTATTTCAAATAGACGAATATTCTTGCGAGTTTTCACGGGTAGGCGCGACAGATTACGTTACACATGTCATGATCGCTCTTTCTGCCAATTGCATGACTTTATACATCGTTATTTAAGTCGGACTTTTTTGTAGTGAACCAGAGAAAAATGTCGGCTCATTAACGCCATACGAACTTGACATAAAATCAAAGGCAGATCAGATATATCAAATTTGTGACCTTCTGAACCACCTGACAAAATCGGACAGTAAATGTATACCTAAAATAACTCTTCGGGAGTTCCTGCGGCGCGCTGTATTTGCAGTTGTGGGAACGTGCGTAATATATAGATCCGAGAGTAATCGGGATTATGGCAATCCCTGGAGCCGCCGTGAATGCACCAATGAACCCGAACTGTCCATCCGGTCTTCCGGAATTCATGTTGGGCCTATATTTATCAATTCCTGACGTGAACGATGCGTGGGATTTGCTTTCAGTATAAGTTCGATTAAAAAAAAAAAACCAGAACGATCACCCGACTGTGTTGAAGCGGGACTGCTTTTCCGTTAAGCGTAAGGGTCGAAGTTTACCCGTGCATACGCAGACCCGTGCTGTCTGTCTGAAACAGAGACATGATTTGTTCACAAAATCGAAAAATCACTCACATTTTGGGCGGCAGGTTCCCACGCTTTCGGGGATCTCTCGTCGGTCCCGCTCATGAGGTCCACGCCCCGCCACTGACTCTGTGATCATTCCCGCCACGAAAAATTCCAGACGTGTTCTGTTTTATATCTAGTGTCTCGGCGAATGTCCACGTTTTGCAGTCATGGGCTAGAACTCCCGACTTGCGCAGTTGCAATGCAATGCAGCTCGGAAATAGCGCTCGCATAAGAAGTGTATGCCTGTCATATTCGATGGGGTCACCGCATGTAACCCGCGTTGCATGATGGGATATAACCATGTCGGGTCAAACAATACATGTAGACTGCACGCTGACGCCTCGCTATAAAAATGTTGCAATCGGCGCATTTCTCGTCTAGATACTGAAAACTCTAGTGTTCCGGGTAGGGCTTCATTTAGGATATCTCCCGGTTCTTTCCTAGCAGAGCTTAAAAATACCCATGTCTACTCCCATTGAAACCTTTCAGGCTGATACCCCTTTGTGCTATCTGAGCATATATTTCCATAACGCCCAATGTTGTAAAGCATTAAGAGGAAATAAGAAGCTTTTAGTCACCAGCTTCAAACTTTATGTCAAGAAATATGGGCCTTGTTATTTTTTGCAAGCAAAAAACTGCCTGTTTGAAATTACGTCTGCCTGTCCTCAAGACAGGTGGCCAGGGGAGGCACTGGATCCAGGGTAGCGGAGGGCTACCCGATGAAGATCATACTTCACGATTCCACGATCGAGCTCTGGAGACAGCTCTGAACATACCTGTTAACTTACGCCAATAAGCCTTTTACGAGTTAAACTTAATAAAATTTGGTACACTGAGTTCCTTATGTGCATGTGAACATAACAATTTGAATTCTCCATACGTAAGATACCGTGTCTCTAGTCTACAGGAATTCCAACTGTAATGTTTATGCACATAAACATAATGTTTATGCACAATCAGATAACTCAAGTGTCCCAGATTTTGTTAAAATTTAACTCACTAATGGCTTATTACCCAGAAAAATGCCTTGGAGGATTAAGCTTTTGCATGTGCATACGGCAGAGTCCTCTAAAGGCAAAAACATAAAGATCAAAGGTTTTTTTTAATATTCCGATTACCAGTCACTTTTCGATCCCCTTTGTCACCATACACAGAAAACAATTATCAGTACATTCAAGGAAAAGAATCTACGCATCAGGGTGTGAAAGTGTAATCTTTAATTTTTCATCCTAGAAACAGAATGCCTGGTCGGTCTGGCATCCTCATTCCAGAAGGACTAGTAAAACAGTGTCAAAATAGTTACTGTCGAAGATTTACTTGCGATATGCACTACATTATTAAAACAAGAACTCTCTGAAAAGAGCTGGCCACGGAAGCAAACAAATTCAGTTCTTTGGTTCATGGTTCCAGATTCCTTGTGACATTTACGTTGGTGTCTGGTCGACTATTTTATGCGCAAGTAAAAGCCTAACGTTGTTTTGTTACACGTTTGTATGATTCTTACAATTCTGAAATTAACAGAGAGAAAAGAGTGTGGGCGAAGAATGCGCAGTCTCCTTGAAATGAAAGAATGAAAAAAAAACCGCACAAATATGGAGTGCACTATGTCTAGGCATGTGTAGCTAATAGTCTTTCCGAAACAACTCAACCAAATCTAGCAGGTGCTTCCATGGAAATTTCCCAGTACTTGACGAGGACACGGCCTCACATGCATACGTCTGTACTATCGAAGCAATGGGTGTCTAAAGACACGCAACAAAATGGGCAGCATTCTTTGAAGACATGCATCACGGTGAAAACATACAACGGTATTTGAGCGTAATTAGAGTTACATAATTCTTACATTTTGCTTGATATCGCTTGCTTTTTACCCATGGATATCGTTAAAAAAATAATAAATTGCTCAAACTCTTCAAACCGTCATCTAAATTGAAATTTATAAAATATACAAATGTACAGAGAAATTCTGCATAACCAGCTATTGCTACATTGGTAGAAATGTTGAATTTTCTACTTATGGCCCAGTTTTTGTGACGCCATATTTTCCCCTTCACTGTCAGTTCAATTTGCTTCTTTTTGTCATGGCACAATTTCCTTTTTCCCGCTTCTTTGCGACAGACAGTCTTTCCTACTTCGATGACAGTGAAAATTCCTGTTGTGCTGCATGTTTTTCTCTCTTTTTCTGTACCACACGATCCTCTCTCCTTTTGTGACCGTATATATACTTTTTTGTGACATGAGTTGTATGTTTCTTTATCTTGAGAATAACTGGCTTCCAGACACCTCCCAATGATAGCCACGTGTGATCACATTTTTCATTACCTTTTCAAAGCCACAATGTCGGATGCCTGGTGGTTATTTCTTCGCCGGGGGAAAACTGCAGCACAGACACACTTTTAAAACTAATCCACTGCTCAGCATTGTATTGCGTGACAACTGACAGATTTTCATTCTCGGGTTTTTTCATAACTGAATGTGTGAAGTTCCGTGTGCTTTCGTAAGTTTCCATCTCCGGCCGCCCCGGTTCGAATCTATTCTAGTGTACATGTCAGGTTGGACCATTGGTCCTTACCTAATCGCATGTGCACAGTAAAACAAGACATCTCCACGATAACACACACCAAAGAGACATCAAGTAATGAAACTATGGTTTCCAATCATTACGAAGACCGTTTCCTGGGAGACCACCTCAACCCACAACGGAAATGGTGCTAGCAATAACACACGTCGAACATTGTGTGGTAAGTTCATCGTCTGGACCCAAAACAATGAGCCCTATACCTTCTGCAGTTTTCCTCCGATAACATAACGTGCAAGGTTGCACTGTAATTGCCGTGTCAGGCCCACAGATATCGCAAGACAGATGGGACATTTGAAAGCGAGGACCCACACCGAGACTAACGGCCTGAAAGGCAAATGCACAAGAGGCAGTGCAAAAGCGACTGAAAGATGTTGTCATAAAAACCTTCACTGGCTATGTACATCCAGTTTGTTGTTCATGTACATGAACACACACAACCCCCAAATCGGATACACAGAACTTCGGTTGTAACCATTTTCAAAAGGTGGATGTCAAGAGAAGATTGCTTTGGCGAGGGTTAAAATTGAGAAGTGACAGGACAGTCATTACAAGATGACCGGAGTGGGATTCGAAGCCATGACTCCCGAGGTGAAAGGTCATAAGACAAAATCCGACACGCCGAACCCGTCAGTATAACAATAGCGACTGCAGCTTATCATGGAAATTTTGTTCTGATATCTTATTCATGAATTGATTATATTGAATTGAATGTGAGGTTATTTTTTTTTTAATTTTGGGAACTGACAATTAAAAGGAAAGCAATGGAACCAAAAAAACCCACACAAATTAATGTCTTTTATGGTGATGAGTAGGTTAAAATATATGATCAGTCATACACCTAAATGTTTGAAGCCTCATTTAAAGGAAACAAAGTGAAACGTGGAACCCAAAATAGTCTGGTACCACCCTACTAACAGATGACAATGAATAAGATTTCTGGGAGCACAATGGGAAATGGTCCTCCTGAGAATAATGTGTGTTGAGGTTCCATGCAGCGTCACTGAATAGTTTGCAGCATCGCACTAAGATTCGTTGCCCTCACCGCACGGGAGGGCATTATTCATGCCAGACAGTGCAAGACGCCATTTTTTTTCTCCGCCACTGGAAACAGCCTGTCCCATTTGTTAAAAATACTTCTATCATTAAGTGGCATCAATCACATGCCAAGGGGCGGACAAAAGCGCCATCTAATTTATATGCTTTCTATGAGAAGTCAAGGGTGACCGAAATCACCCATCGTCGACACACGTCACTCCCCGCTCTGATTCATTGTTGTATGTGTTCTAGATCGACGATATCTTGGTTGGCATTGAACCATTATATATTCACTAGAAATTTAACGGAAGAAAAACCACCAATGTATACATCTATAAATCAACCACATCCAATTATCCAAGTTGAGCCTTGAATAATTAATGTTTGCCCTCACATTCTTTATTTATCCATTTCCCCACGTGCAATAACTACTTTAAGTTTTGAGGAATGGTCGAAATACCTGAGCAACCTTGGATTGTTTACATGTCTATAAGTTTATACGAGAGTAAGCCTTTAAAAGAGGGTAAGTAACGTTTTTAATTTTGGTCATTGTTCCCCCCCCTTTAATATGTAAACTGAAGTTTTTTAGGTATTTTCTGTAATAGCCTTTTCATTTCATCAGTGTGACGTCACTTCAGTTTAAACCACGCCCACCGCACATGCTCTGCACATAGAGTTGCATGCATTGATCGCCGTTTACATGGAACCGGAAGTTACCGCGCAACTTCGGCGATCGTCCAATGGGAGCCTGCAAATCGTGGCGCGAACACCTTTGTGACAAAGTCACTTACGAACCGGATACTTCAATTGTAACATAATCCAACCTGTTGGTAGTCAATAAATAAATTCATAAATTCAAATCCGTTCATCTACTTTACATCACAACGTAGTGTCTTCGATTAAGTTTTTTTTCATGACTGTTTTCGTGTATTTTTGTGTAATGTTCGTTTTCACTAGTCGCCCTAGGAGCCTTTATAATTATGTCATGATTCATTTCAAATTCAGGAAACCCTCGTACTTTTTTCATTGTGAAGAATGATTTTGTTAAGTTTTAAGGTTTATTTTTAGTTACTTTGTATTCGCGTCTAAAGATAAATGAATGCATGGCATACCGTGAAGAAATGCAGTCCTATTGTACGAAGAACAAAGCACAAAGGATTTTGACCCAATAACTGTCTGCGTGTACATCATTAAATACGGAGTACCATTGTTTGGCAACTAACTCAATAACAGGAAAGTGGTCAGCTTTCTCATTTGGTATTCCCCTCCGTGTTTTCCCTCAATTTTCCGTCACGTCATTTGCCTTTGTAGCTTTCCCTGCAACATATAATGTACATGTACATGTCTCGACTCTCATGCGACCAGCACACATGCTGTGTATGATGAAGACTTTGTTGTTTCTGCTGTTCTCAATATCATACTGAATATGTCAAAACGTTTGGGGATTTCAAGCGAAATAAGCATTCGTATCAAAACTTACCTTTCTCTTTACCAGGGAACTATACCACCTACCACCTATATGACACAGACACCAGACGATGTACTTTGAAATGACAGAGATATA